GTTGTTCTAGCGTTGCCGCTAGAGAACATTCCACTTCTTGATTTGAATTGTGGTATTGTACGTGCGGGTGGCCGTGGGGCTGTTTCTCTACAGCCAGCTTGCCTCTCCAAGTTGGAGACAACTCTTCAAAATTTCCAAATTGTTACCAAATTATAACTTTTTGTTCAAATTTAGGGTGGGGTGGGGGGACTGTCCCTTTCACAACTGTTCTAAGCGGGTTGGAAATTTGGGGGGGGGGGGGGACATTCCTTGTTTCAATGTTTATAATAATAATATTGTAAATGTTGCTAATGATGACTATGATGATTGTTATGTAGTGTTGATTGGCAAAATATTGTAAGTGTATTTGAAATATTACTGATTACTGATTGCTGATCTGCATAAAGAAAAACTTGTAAAAAGGACTTCTAGACATGGCTGAGGGGGAAGGTAGCGGCTGCTTATTGCCCTAAAAATGTAGTGGAGTTAGAAGTGGTTTAACCACACCTGCCTTAAAACAATGGTAAGTAAAATAAATAAAGAGTCCTTTTCAGCGCCTTCAAGCGAACTGGGCGTATAGGGCTAGACCTATACTTTATAACCCAATCGTTACTTGGTAGGTGATGTGGTTAGCACCACGCTGGCCGCCTTTACTTCCGAGGACCGCACCTTGTACCCACTCAAGGCTGGGTCCACATTGACGTCAAGGAGATTTTTGAAGAAAACAAAAGTCGGTCCTTGTCCAGATCTGAACCCACGCCCTTTCGATTCGCAGGAGAGCGTCTAGCTGCTATACCACGGCGATTCCCAAAAACAATGGTACCTATTTTGAAAAATGGCAGCTCTATCATTCTTCAACATCTGTTCGACAGCTGTCGTCTGACCCGTCAAACTCCCGCCCCCTTCCAACGACGTGAGTCAGCTCCACGGAAACCTTATCTCATTAGCCAGTGGTGACGAACCTACTTCTCACAACATCCGTGGCCGTGGTGGTCAAACTGTTTGCCTCGTCTCTCGAAAGTCGTAGGCTCGTTTCACGAGAGTTAATGAGTTAAGTTTAAATGGAGATAACTAGAGATCGCCGCTGGTGCTACTGAGTCTATGCTTCGTGCTATGGTTTCAGCAGGCGCTAGCCGTCTTACGAAGAGACACCCAGTCATGTGGTTCGCCATTGGCACATCTTTAACACCCAAGTAAGTGTTTCAAGAAACAAGAAAGTGTAAATTAAAAAATAATAAAAATAAAGGACCGTTTTTCAGGCCTTTAGTCGTATAAGGCATATAGGGCTAGACCTATATTTTTTTATAGACCGATTGGCACAAGTTGGGTGATGTGGTCAGCATCACGCCGGCCGCCTCTACTTCCCGGGACTGCACCCGGTACCCACTCAAGGCTGGGTCGACCTGGGAGCCAAGGTCACTTTTGAAAACAGTCCGTCTCCGCGTCGGAGCGAATCCACGACCTTCCGATCTGCGGCGAGCGTCTAACAGCCAGTGTGATCAGCTGTATCGGTCAACAAGGACCCTTTTCCAAGTCTGCAGGCGTTTTGGGCATATAGGGTAAGCCTTTATTTTATACACCAATCGGCACATGGTGGGTTATGTGGTTAACATCACACTGGTCGCCTTTACTTCCCAAGACTTTAACTGGTAGCAATGTTAGACAGCCGACCCGGAAGACAGTATAATTTTTGAAATAATTTCGGCTACGTTGACATTTGAACCCACACCATCAGATCCATAGGCGAGAATCCAGCCGCGACACCACGGCAGCTTCAAAACTATATCTGTATTTATTTTAAAGACATATTTTTATGTTAGCAAAACATAAAGTATTAACAAATGTATCAGTTATAAAAACTTTATTTACCTTCGAATTTATAACAGAGACGTGATGCTAACTTTACCATAATGGAAAACAAAGAACCAAGAAGAATTCAATTGCTTTGTTCTACTGGATCAGCGTCTTCGTCGAGTCAAACTGTTGTGAGTTACATCCAACACCATGACACCAAGTGACCATTCTTGCAGAGGAGGAAAACATTTGAACAGCAAACATGTTGATACGTTATTGCACTAATAATAATTGTTGTCCTTATGTTGACAATAAATTGAAACGCACAAATATTATGTATTAGTAGTTGGAATAATAGTATCAGTGGTAAGGGTAGAAGTACTAGTAGTGGGATATTAGTAGTAGTAGTAGTAGTAGTAGCAGCAGCAGCAGCAGCAGCAGTAGTAATAGTAGAAGTAATAGTAGTAACCGTTTTATTAGTAGTAGCAGCAGCAGTAGTATTAGTATTGGTAGAAGAGACAGAAGCAGCAGCAGTATAAAAAGTAGCATCACTTATAGTAATATTATCAGCAAAGATAACAGATGTCGTAGTAGTAGTAGTTGTAGCAGCAGCTGCAGCAGCATCAGCAGCAGCAGAAGCAGTAGTAGTAGTAAAAAATTTAGTATTTGCAGTAAAGACAATAATAGTAGTAAAAATATTAAAACTGACAGCAGTAGTAATAGCAGTAACGTAAGTAGTAAATAAATATTACAAGTAGAGACATCAGTTGTACAGTAATATTAATTGCATTAGGCTTGATTATTATGCCAGTAATGGTAGCAGCAGTAGCAGCAGTAGCAGCAGCAGCAGCAATTGTAGTAGTAGCAGCAGTAGTTTTAGTTGCTGTAGCAGCAGTAGTAATTGTAGCAGTAGCAGCAGTAGTAATAGTTGCAGTAGCAGCAGCAGCAATTGTAGTAGTAGCAGCAGTAGTAATAGTTGCAGTAGCAGCAACAGCAATTGTAGTAGTAGCAGTAGTAATAGTTGCAGTAGCAGCAGCAGCAATTGTAGTAGTAGCAGCAGTAGTAATAGTTGCAGTTACAGCAGTAGTAATAGTTGCAATAGCAGCAGTAGATGCCAATAAATCATCGGTTCTCAACCTGTGTGTGCGACCCGTGGGGGTCAAACAACCATTTCACAGAGGTCACCTGTCTATCTGAAGACATACATTCACTGAAGTTATAAAGCAGCAACGAAAATAATGTTATTGTTGAGAGGTCACCACAACATGAGGAACTGTAGCAAAGGGTCGCGACATTAGCAGGTTGAGAACCACTGTATTAGATAGTCTTGCTACATGTGAGCTTTCCTCGAAACAGGGAGCCGTATTGGGAACCAAACCAGCCATTGCCGTATTGGGAACCAAACCAGCCATTGCCGTATTGGGAACCAAACCAGCCATTGCCGTATTGGGAAACAAACGAGCCATTGCCGTAATGGGAACCAAACTAGCCATTGCCGTATTGGGAAACAAACTAGCCAATGCCGTATTGGAAACCAAACCAGCCATTACCGTAATGGGAAACAAACTAGCCATTGCCGTAATGGGAAACAAACTAGCCATTGCCGTAATGGGAACCAAACAAGCCATTGCCGTAATGGGAACCAAACAAGCCATTGCCGTAATTGGAATCAAACTAGCCATTGCCGTATTGGGAAACAAACTAGCCATTGCCGTATTGGAAACCAAACCAGCCATTGCCGTAATGGGAACCAAACTAGCCATTGTCGTAATGGGAACCAAACTAGCCATTGCCGTAATGGGAATCAAACTAGCCATTGCCGAATGGGAAACAAACTAGCCATTGCCGTAATGGGGACCAAACTAACTTTTCTATTTAATTGCACAAACTAGCCTAAGAAAGATATTGTGTCTACAGTCAGCTTGCCTCTCCAAGTTGGAGACATCTCTTCAAATAGGGCATATAGGGCTAGACCTATATTTTATAGACCAATCGTTACTTGGTAGCCATTGCCGTAATGGAAATCAAACTAACTTTTCTATTTAATTGCACAAACTAACCTAAGAAAGATATTGTTATAAAAAACAGCACTAGCTGCTGAGGTAGAGAATTGGTTGTTTGTGTCCCGGTCTCACGCCGCCCCATAATTGCCCACTTTATGACAGCCACCTGGCAATAGGTGTTTCGTCCTTTTTAGGACGAAATTTTTTGTTTTTTGAAGCCCCACCCTGTTTTTTTGCCAGGGGCCGCAATGTAGACAAGCTATAAATATGGCGAACTGTCTGAACGCGGTTTCTGGGACCTCTCCACGGCGATCCTCATCCACATGGTGGCACTTTGTGTCATCGGATGTTTATCGCTTGTGTGATGTCCTCTTAGGGTGGAAAGTCAGTCAGTCAGCGAAAACAACACAGAACCGCCTAGCACTCTCGCATGTGAACACAGCTCAAACAGACTTTGGTCTTGATAAGGCTAACAGCATACATGTGAACGATGGCAGGGAAAAATGGTGGAAGGTTAATTAAACTAACGAACGCTTTTCCACGACTTCAGACGTATCGGGCATATAAAGCGAGGAGCGCCGTCTGGTCTATAAAATACAGGTCTAACCCTATATGCCCAATTAGTCTAAAGACGTGGGAAATGGTCCTTTTACGGTGTGCACACTTCTCTCAACTCAGTTGTAAGTGACGGAACTAAGTACTTTCAGTCCACCTATTGGGAGATTTGGTGCGAGGAAGTGCGTGTAACAACAAACTACGACAGAAAGAAAAAATTCCTTGACTTTAACGGCCCTCGGCCTATCCGCCATTTGGGAGGGGATTAGGTCTACCAATCAATCAATCAATCAACCAATCAACTAACCAGCCCGCCAACACACATATTAGCTATCCTTCAATTGTGTCAGTCATCTCAAGTTTGGGAGGGGTCTAAACCCATCAATCAATCAATTATTCTATCAATCAATCACTCAATCAATCACTCAATCAATCAAGCAATCAGACCAACAACGAGCCAGCGTGCCCGCTTACATATCTATCAACTCTCCTTCAATGGTGTCAGTCTCCTCCAGTTTGGAAGGGGCCTAAACCCATGAATCAATTAACTCTATCAATCGATTAGTCAATCAATCGGTCAATCAAAGCGCCAGCGAGCTTGCCAACATACCTATCAACTCTCCTTCAAAGGTGTCAGTGGCCTTGATGTTGGTGTTACTCCTAGGAAAGTCATACGAGAAAGTCAGCAGAGCTGGGAGTGTATATTCCCATCAGGCAGGTTGTGGAGGCCACACTCTCATCTATGCCTGCCTGGACTGCTTCAGACAAGTTCTGGGGGTTCGAATGGAGAGATTTTTATTGTGCACAAGTCAGATGAGGGTTTCAACTCTGAAAAGGGATTGAAAAGCAGGAGAAACGGGAGGGGAGTGGAAATGTTAATAATGATGGTCATGATGGGAATGATAATAGGTTAGTTGCGTATCCTTTACAGGACGTTGCAGAACCAACCCCAACAGCTCCTGGCTGTTGTGTGGGTTTTCAAGGCAAATTTACGACCAGTAGTTTGCCATTGCTTCTGGACAGTCGGCTTTCTTGATACCACTGTCGAAACCAACGCAAGGCGCATGGCCCGCAGCTGGGATCGAACCCGGCATCCCGGCATTACGAAGCGTTCGCATCGACTTAGCCACAGAGCCGACGGTAATGATAATAATGACGAAAAAAAGATGTAAAAAAAATTAAGGATGATTATGATGTGATGATGATGCTATGAGGAAATAAGAGGAATTTTAAAAAGGATGCTAATACGCAGGAGGGAAAAGGGAAGAACGGGGAAGAAGATGATGATGATAATTATGAAAAAGAAGAAGAAGAAGAAGAAGAAGAAGAAGAAGAAGAAGAAGAAGAAGAAGAAGAAGAAGAAGAAGAAGAAGAAAAGAAGAAGAAGAAGAAGAAGAAGAAGAAGAAGAAGAAGAAGAAAGCACTCAAATATGTACTTGTAAATACTAGAGATAAACATAAAAGTTCTAATAAAATAAGGACACCTCTTTGTGGAAAACAAAGAAAATCATGTGCAAGTAAATGGTGTCTTACTTTGCGGCAATATTTAAACGCCTCTTGTTCTAGAAGGTCTATATCCAAGATTTGATCAGGTCCTAACACATTAAATGCCTTGGGAGCAAGTGTGAACCCTTGGATGGCGTAGAATTTGATGTCGTCAACACTCGGCTGATAGACATTTCCTGTGGAAATAGAATGAATAGTGTGCTAAATGAATCAGCACACTACCAAGTGTATAGCAGGTACTCTTCAGCTTCCTCTCTCAGCAATAGGACTCGACGACGATGACACCGTCATACAAGTTTATTTAACATGATACATGACACAAATGCAGAGACGTAGTTATTGATCACAGCTGACATTCGCACATCGTCCATTTGTCCTCACTCACTCTCTATCGCTCAATTTGTAGCGGTCTCTCCTCGACTACTACAGCTACAAGAACTACAGCGCCCCACTCTGGACGCGTCGTACAGCTGAACAGGACGACTTCTCCCATTCACTGGACCTGGATATTAATTCAGCATACACCACAGCTGACTGGAGACGGCATTTCCCTTGCCGTACTCCCAAACCAGGTACTACTGGCCTTCCGTCTCCTGGACTTACTTTGCCAGCGGGACCATATTTTCAGTATCGTAACCCTGACACTCACTCAGACCTAAATGCCTGATAGTCGTACGGTATTCTAGTCTGTTAGACTAGCGAGAGATATCACGGACCCTGACTTGGTCTCTGGCTCCCGTTTTCTCTCTCTCTTCTGGCTTCTCTCTCGACTGCTTCTCGATTCCCCTCTCCGAGTGGCTACTCAGCCCTCCAATTTACCCCCCTCAACTCCGTGTAGGTGGATGATGTCTACACGAGAGGCACGCTGGTATGGGCGTTCTCGTGAATCATGATCCTGTGGGTGTTCTCGGGACCCACGCTCATGTGGGTGGCTGATGTTACCTGAAAATCACGCTGTAACTTAATTCACACTTTCTCTGTTTATCTCGTTATCCCTGCTTTCAGCCCTCCCCACACAGAAACCCACGCGTCCACTTTCTCTCGTGCGTGCACGCTTAGTTCATGAATAGACATTTTCACTGGTCTCCTCTCAATACTCGGACCATGTTGACACTGTTCCCCCGTGAACTTACAGACAGTACTGACCTCCCACTGTCCCTTCACACAATATCACACTTTACCCCAAATCAGCGCACAACAGGGATATCGTCTCTCCAATGTGCTGACTGGTTACTAGGGTTTTTTATACGAAAGACAGAGGACATTCTGAATGCACACAGTTGGTAACGAGTAGACGATATCAGGTTAATATTCTTTACTGAACTTTCACAGGTGATCTGGTCTAGTCAATGTCTACCATTGGCTAGCAGGTCCAGCAAGGTGAGATGACATTCTCAGACACCAACTTTACGTCTTCTCTCTTCCACACTCGTTATCTTTCAGTCCTGTTTCCTTCCACACGGAATACACACAACGGTTGATCCAGCAGTTGTGATCATGGCAATTCAACTTCTTGACCGATTCCGACTTGTTGGCTACCATTTTGGTTTAGACTGTCATCAAGCTGTCATCTTTTGGTCTTCTCGTGGTCATCTCAAGGAATAGAAACTCATGCATTTCGTCAAATATACACTGTCACATTCACGCGTCCATCAGAGACAACCTTTCACGTCAGCTACCAAACACATACTAACTGATTAGATCTTGGTCTAACCTTATAACCCTCGTTCTGGGTTTCACGTGCTGGTCCGAGTCCTGTTTGTATATCTCGAGCTTCTACGAGTATTCACATTCTTATGTATTTCTCTCTTATCTCAACGTTTACTCTCATATTATTGTTTAGAGAATTCCCGTGGGAAAATATCAACATTACAATACGTCTGTTCGCCGGTAGACGATTTCGTCACCGGTCGGGACTGTATTTGGGTCTGTCTCCTTTGATCGCATCACATTGCTGGAGTCTTTTTCGGGTTCTTGGTGGCGTGCAATGATAAGCCATTTTATATGGCGCACAATACCTAGTCACAATTATAATCTAAAGCTCCTCCTTCAGGGATGATGGTTGAACTAAAGATTTCTTTAAGCAAAGAATCGAATCGCATCAAAATGATGTTGGTTAAATAGCGGTCAGAAAATTATGTGTTTTTACTATGGCATATTAGAGTGTGTATGTTGTTACAGAAGTATAGTGTTCCTATACAGCTACAGAAAAGTAGTGTTTTTATGTCAGAAATGTTGTGTTTGTCAGTTGCTACAGAAATGTTGTGTTTGTCTATTGCTACAGAAATGTTGTGTTTGTCAGTTGATACAGAAATGTTGTGTTTGTCTGTTGCTACAGAAGTGGTGTGTTTGGCTATTGCTACAGAAATGTTGTGTTTGTCTATTGCTACAGAAATGTTGTGTTTGTCAGTTGCTACAGACATGTTGTGTTTGTCTGTTGCTACAGAAATGTTGTGTTTCTCTATCGCTACAGAAATGTTGTGTTTGTCTGTTGCTACAGAAATGTTGTTTGTTGCTACATAAATGTTGTGTTTGCCTGTAGCTATAGAAATGTGTTTGTCTGTTGCTACAGAAATGATGTTTTTGTCTATTACTACATAAATGTGGTGTTTTTTGCTACAGAAATGTTGTGTTTGACTGTCGCTATAGAAATGTGTTTGTTTGTTGCTACAGAAATGTTGTGTTTGTTGTTACATTTATGTTGTGTTTGTCTGTTGCTACAGAAATGTGGTGTTTTGTAATGAAATATAGGCAGAAAGGGGTTAAACGAATAAATACATTTCAGCACATCATCAAGGCATACTAATCCATCACCGTGTGACATGACAGAAATGGGTGATTAGAAAGCTGACCTGACCAGCGATACAGAACATCTGCACGGTGACCAGAGTTGAATTGAATGCGGTTATCTGAGTAATACCATGACATCTGACAGAAGGATGAAAACATACGACAGAGAGGGAGGTCGACGAGTACCCGTGAGCAACGCGATGCACGTGTCCAACTGACGATACGTTTATCCAAACGTGACCACCAGAGACAGATGTCAGGGGGTGATTGAGAAGGCAGGCCAGAAAGAGCGGGAAAGCGAGGGGAAGGGAGTAGCCAGGGGCAGAAGGGGGAGGAGAAAGTCAGTCAGGGCGGGACCGCTTGAGAGGACAGTTAGGACTGGACCGCTTGAGAGACCAGTCAGGAAAACTAGAGCTGTACTTTGTTTAGAAGTTATATATATTAAACTTGGACTTTAGCTAAGAGAGTGATTAAGGAACTCATAGAGAGACATAAGAACAGCCAGTAATAAGATAATGAAGTGCTCTTATAATATTGTTATTGAATGATTCATTCTGTCTGACTTGATAAGTTTATTAATAAATAAACTGCTGTGTAATTTTTACATCACTGGTCTTGTTCTTGAGTACGATCGAAGAGAGCTACGAACTGTATCCATTCATCTTGGCCGAACTAGGCACATCTATTTCTTGGGGGATGTCAAGGCACGACTGTGCCACAGTTTGTTGCTACAGAAATGTGTTTGACTATTGCTAGGAAACAAAATCAAGACAGTATATTACTGTACACATTTATATCTAGTATGTTGATGGAGAACTTATGATCCAGTATGGGATGTAGAAATTAGGATCCTTATGTCGATGGAGATATGTGGATCCTGTATGTTGATGGAGATATGTGGATCCTGTATGTTGATGGAGATATGTGGATCCTGTATGTTGATGGAGATATGTGGATCCTGTATGTTGATGGAGATATGTGGATCCTGTATGTTGATGGAGATATGTGGATCCCGTATATTGATGGAGATATGTGAATCCTGTATGCCGATGGAGATATGTGAATGAAGTATGTCGACGGAAATATGTGAATCCATTATATCGATGGAGATATGTGGATCCAGTATGTCGATGGACACATGTGGACCTAGTAAGTCGATGGTGAAATTAGGATCTAGTATGTTGTAAAAATTAGGATCCAGAATGTTGTAGAAATTAGTATTGATTATGTTGTAGAAATTAGGATCTAGTAAGTGATGTAGACATTAGGATCCAGTATGTGATAAACATGATGATATAAAACATGCTGATAAATTATGATAACAATAATTATATAAAACATGTTGTTACAATATATTGATATAAACAAGCTGAGCAGCGCATTAAAGCCTTTGAATGCAATTGTTATAGACTGGTTGTAAGAATATTATGGGTAAACAACAAGAACACATGCATCCATTCTTTAAGAACAGAATATTGAAGAATGCTGGCTATTAAAGACGATAAAACACAGAAAATTGAAATATTCTGGTCACTTAAAACTTCACGAAAGTTTAGAGAGAACAATAATGGAGGGATAAATGGGAGTCCCTCTGTCAGCATGAACAACATGGGTGAAAGCCGAAAGGAAGCCCATGTTGGGAAAACAAGTCTGCTGGATGTCACAACCAAATTAAGAATTGGCTTCTGGAATGTGAGAACCATGTTTCAAACGGCCAAAACCGGACAAGTAATTAAAGAAATGCAGAACTATAAACTGCAAATTCTTGGAATTAGTGAAAGCAGGTGGGCAGTGTTTGGACAATCCACAACAGGTACAGGAGAAACCATAATATAATCTGGAAGAGATGATTACCTACATTCTGCAGGCAGGGCACTTATTTTAAAGAAAGGTATACACAAACATCTCATCGAGTGGCATCCAATCAATGAAAGAATAATGACAGCACGATTCAATGGGAAACATGCCAAACTTACAGTCATCCAATGCTACGCACCGACTAATGAAGCTGAAGATGAAGATAAAGAAACATTCTTTAGGAGACTGCAAGAGGTAGTAGATAAAGTACCAGCCCATGATATTCTATGCATTATGGGAGATCTCAATGCAAAAGTTGGTAACAACAACTTGAATAGAGAACTATCAATAGGAAATCAAGGATGTGGTACAATTAATGACAACGGGGAAAGACTGAGCGACTTCTGCACGGCGAAAAGACTTGTTTTAGGAGGAACACTATTTTCTCACAAGAATATACACAAGCTTACATGGATATCCCCAAACAGAAGAGATGTTAACCAGATTGACCATTTCATGGTAAACAGAAAATGGCGTGGGTCCCTACTCGATATGCGTGTCAAAAGGGGAGCAGATGTGGGAAGCGATTATCACCTTGTAGTTGCTATACTACGACTTGAACTCAAAAAAGTTTACACGCAAGTTAAGACACAGACAGCACGTTACAATGTTAACCTTTTAAGAGAAAAAGACATTACCACTAAATTTATAATAGAACTCAAGAATAGATTTCAAACCCTATCAAGTGACCCAGAAACTCCAACTACAATCAGCATTCAAGACAGATGAAACCAGATCAAAGAAACATACAAATCAACTAGAAATAACATATTAGGAACCAGGAAACAACACCACAAAGAATGGATAAGTAGTCAAACCTTGGACTATATTGCCAAGCGAAAAAGAATAAAGAGCCTCATAAATCACACTAAATCAGAACGACAGAAAGACAAACTACTGTTAGAATATAGCGAACTAAATAAAATGACAAAGAAAAGTGCCAGAGCTGACAAGAGAAGATATATAGAAAATCTTGCAGAAACAGCAGAAAATGCTGCTAAAGCACATGATCTACAAAACCTACAAAAAATTATCCAGCAAATTTGCGGAAACAGAAACAATTATCACAGCATACCCATCAGAGATAACCAAGGCACACTGCTCACCACAGAACAAAAACAAGACATACAGTGGACTAAACACTTCTCCGACCTCTTGAACAGACCTGATCCTGAAAATCCCCCAGATATTCAACCAGCCTCTCAGGACATTTACATTATTACTGAACCACCAAGCAAACAAGAAATCCTTAAAGCTATTCACACTTAAAAGAACAACAAAGCACCAGGCAAAGACGAACTGCCAGCAGAACTTCTCAAAGTAGATTCCAACGCAACTGCTAGCATTCTAGAACCATTGTTCAAGGATATTTGGGAAAAATAAGTGTTGCCTGATGACTGGACTGGAGGAACAATAGTCAAAATCCCCCAAAACGGAGATTTAACAGACTGCAGTAATTGGAGGGGAATTACTCTACTCTCAGTACCAAGCAATATATTTTGTAAAATCATCATAATGCGGCTTGAAAAAGGAGTAGATAAATGCCTACGAGTGGAACAAGCAGGATTCAGAAAGGGCAGAGGAACAACTGAGCACATCTTCGCCATACGTAACATTTTAGAACAATGCAACGAATGGCAGAGATGCGTATATATTTTGTGGACTTTGAGAAAGCTTTTGACAGCGTCCATAGAGACGGTCTGTGGAAAAATTTACGACATTATGGAATTCCAGAAAAAATAGTCAACATAATTGCTCTCTTCTATAAAGATTTTTCCTGCAGTATAAAAAATTACAATACATCTTTCCCAGTAAAGACAGGTGTAAGACAGAGATGTGTTATGTCATCTCTCCTCTTCAACCTTGTGATTGATTGGATACTAAAGAACACAGTAGACAGAACATTAAGAGGCATTTGATAGACTCCATTCACCATGCTTGAGGACCTTGATTTTGCAGATGATATAGCACTCCTATCCCATAAACATGAACATATACAAGAGAAAAGTAACAGACTAAACTGCACAGCAGAAATGGTGGGACTGAGAATAAATACAAAGAAAACTAAGATCATGACAAACAGTCCAAACCAACAACCAGTGACCATAAGTAACCAATCACTTGAAAATGTAGAACATTTCACATATCTTGGCAGTGTGGTGTCCCTACTAGGAAGGACAGAGGAAGACATACAGTCACGCCTGAACAAAGCTAGAGTTGCTTTTGGAAGAATGAGGCAAATCTGGAAATCCAACAATTTCTGCAGAGGAACAAAACTCCGACTCTACAAGAGCATCATTTTGCCAGTTCTTCTTAATGGAGCGGAATGCTGGAGAATGACCAAATAGGATGCACACAAGCTGTCCACCTTCCACCACACATGTCTACGTAGGATTATCAAAATTTTCTGGCCAGATACAATCTCAAACACTAAACTACTTCAAGTCACAAACCAAGAAACGTTAGACAGTATGATAACCAAGAAAAGATGGAAATGGCTTGGCCACGTTATGAGAATGAATCCTGAAATACCAGCCCAAAACAGCTCTCACATGGACACCAGAGGGAAAGAGAAAACAGAGGCGCCCAAAAACAACATGGAGACGAACGATGGAAAGTGACCTGAGTTCCGCATCTTTGACATGGAAAACTGCACTGAAGATTGCACAGGACAGGAAAGCATGGAAAGTCCTCTCTGAAGCCTCATGTGCCACTAGGCATAACGAGAACTGATGACTGATATATGGGAATTGAGAAAGAGGAAGGATAAAGAGAAGATGGGTGCAGGATGTGGCAGATGATCTCCAGATTGGTTTTTGGTCGCGGGACATCTCGCTTGTGGTCGAGAAGTTTTCCGGAGGGTTGTTATGGTAGCAAGGTTTTGCAAAGTACATGCTACTGATTGACGAAAGTTCATGGAGATATTGAGATCTAGTATGTTGATGCTGCAATTTGGATCCTCTATGTCAATGGAGATATTACAATCTAGTGTTGACGAAGAATGTTTGGATCTAGTATGTTGATGGAGAGGTTTGGATCTGGTTGATGTAAACATGTGGACCCAGCAAGTTGGTGTATCCTAGGGTGAACATTTCTTTCGCAGATTATAGGTTATATAATCCTTTTTACAGAATTCATGAAACAATGTATCGCCATGACCGTGGGAAAGAATCATGCAATGCTACTCACAATAAAGCACAAACTCACCAACAGCGCACGGTTTTGGCTCACACTTAAGTCCCTTCTCTGGAGCTAGAATTTGCTTGAAAATTCTCTTACATCCCTCTGGGTCACTGGTTCCATGCAGAAGAAGTGTCTGCTTATTTTCTACCTCTATCTCCTTGACATCGCCTAGTAGGGGAAAAAAACACATTTTATTTGGCGACACTGCCCTCTCGTTTAGCGACACTGCTCTCTCGTTTAGCGACACTGCTCTCTCGTTTAGCGACACTGCTCTCTCGTTTAGCGACACTGCTCTCTCGTTTAGCGACACTGCTCTCTCGTTTAGCGACACTGCTCTCTCGTTTGGCGACACTGCTCTCTCGTTTAGCGACACTGCTCTTTCACGAACAAGGGAAATTTAGACGCCTCTTGGGTACTGAAGATGGGCCATTGTGAGGGCATAACTACAACCCCACGGCTTCTTTATGAGATAAACAAATATACAAGAACTGATTAGCATTCATAGAAAGAATTAGATAGACAAAAGGATACACTAGAGAACATACAAATCGAAAGATATAGTTACCATGCAGTGAATTAAGCCTGTCTTCTCAAAGTGACTACTTCACCTCGCTACAGAAGCAGTGTCCTAATATGTATGGCCACCCGACACCCCTATATGTCCTTGTAAGCCAGGTATATTATACAGCTTGAATCCACAAATATGTAACATTGAAATAGCACCATATTTTATAGAAATTTGTATTAATCAAGCGTAGGCCAAATAACAAACACCAGACCGTGAAGCTGTGACTAGTATATAACGAACATTTAAAGAAGAAAAATTATTAGTTGGTTCCAGTGTGACGTAAGCAATGCACGGAAATAAACAGAAGAAACACCATTGAGGCCGTAGACATAATAAATAAAGAACTGATTAGCACTCATAGGAAGAAGTAAAGAGGTAAGAGGACACACTAGACAACATAAAAATCTACAGCAGTAGTTACCATGCCGACAGTAGCCAGTTCATTAGCTTATCCCTCTTGTGCTTCCCCCGGGTTCGCCCACAAAAGGGGGGTTGAAAAGTAGTCTTGTGGTTTACAGCTGGGCTGTGATGTCTGTGCCTTTCGACCTAACACATTCGATTTCAGCAAATCCATAATTAATAGTCTTTTACGACATGCTTTGTAAAATAGGTTTGAGAATGTTAGCTCTAAATGGGGTCCTAGTCGCCCCAGGGAAAGCTCTTAGATCTAATAATCATGAGATGCCATACCGTTTGACGGGTGCATATTTTCTGTAACCTGGACAGCTTTCTGGAACTCCTTTACAATTAACTACAGGAATGTCAAAGGCACTAATGAGGGGCGTCAGAAAGCTGGCAGTATCATCCGTCCAGTACCTATTGTTCTAAAACACGTGAATAGCCTGGTGTTGTCTTGCAAGGTCCTTTATATTGTTATTTCTTTGGCACATTTCATGAGACTGTAGGAAGTAAATTACATTCCCTTCTACAGCATTTCGAGCCCTTGAGGTTCACCCGATTTCATTCATCTCTGTGTTTGGTCTTCCAATTCTAGATGGTGATTACAGGCCACGTGTAGAGCCACAAAATAGTAATAGTGAGCCATAGCAGGCATGTGGTAAGAGGTTGCTAAGGGTAGGCTTGGGCTTGGGGTTGGCTTCTAAAACACAGTAGTCTCAGAAACCAACTAACCATAGGAAAAGTCTACACAAGAAACAAGTAATCCCCAACCAGCCAAGATGGACTGGACTAACAGAAGAACGATGACTCAGAGCGACAAAAGCTTAAGAGAATCCAGATCGTGGAGGCATTTACTTTCATCACCTAGGAGCATCTCCAGAAATTGCATCCGGAATGAATGTCAAAATCTCCTCTTGGCCTGCCTCGTGGTTTGCTTCTATCCAACGTTCTTGTGTATACAGTTCACACATCTCCTCTGTTATTCCAGGGAGCCGACAGCGTTTGTCGGGTGTGCCGCAGCAATAATCAAGAATTTTTCAAAATCTGCAGTTTGTTTCTTCTTTTCTGAAGTATTCAAACCGCCTAAAATGTAGGTGTGCCGCGAAATTTGTTTTGCCCGACGACAAAAATTTAAGAAACTCTGCTTTAACATATCGTTAGCCCGGTTTGGTGACGTCAGCAGCATG